ACCATCTTCAGTGATAATGTTGTTCAGTCCTTAAGTCGTGTCCGACTCTTCGTGACCCCATGAACCATATCGTGCCAGGCCTTCCTGTCCTTCATTGCGTCCCTGAGTTTGCTCAGTCTCATCCTCATTGCTTCAGAATGTTAAAACCATCTGTGCTAACAGGGTCTGTGGAGTTGTTTCTCTCAACTCTCCTAAGGCCTAAAAAGTGACTCCTTGGTGACTACATGAAAGTGCCCATTCTCTGGGTCATCAGAACATAAGTTGCTCTCAGAGTGCTGGATTCACACAGGAAGGAGAGGGGATGTGTCTTTGGATGCAGAATATAGGACCCCCGGGTACCAACTTAATGATGAGTATGAGTTCCCCAGGTGCTAACTCATCCAGTGGCTCTTTTTCCTCATAGGCTTTATACGGGGAAGAAGAATAGCTATAGGAGAAGGAGAAAATGGCCAACGTGTTTGTTTATTATTTGATTTGTATGGCCATCCATCTCATCTAAGCCACTCTTGGCAGCTCACAACAGGTAAAAACAATCCAATAAAAACAAGTTAAAAACTAATATACAAACAAAAGCCATCCATTATCAATTTAAAATAGAAAATCATGATCTGTGGCAGAATTCATCCAACATCAGCTCAACACAGCTGTTGTAAGAGCTCCCCACATTGCTAGACCCCCTAGGCACGCAGCAGAGCCAAGTTTTCAGAGGACCTGTAATGTGCCTCTCCTTCCTGTCCTGATGGGATGGGTAGATATAACCAGGGAGAGGCGGTTCCTCAAATAACTTCTCCCCATGCACATAGGGCTTTATAGGTCATAACCAGCCCCTTGAACTGAACCCAGAAGCATACTGGCAACTAATGCAGCTCATGGAGCAGAGGTATAATGTGCGCTGATCGAGGAGTGTGCATAACTGCCTGTGCCATCACATTCTGCACCAGCCGCAGCTTTCAGATGCTCTTCAAGGGCAACCCCATATAGAGTGCATTATAGTAATCCATTCAAGAGTTGACCAGGTCACGCATGACTGTGAGCAGAACCTCCCGGGCCATGAATGGGTGCAACTGGCACACAACACAAAGTTGTGCAAAGGCTCTCTGGCCACGGCTGCCACCTGCTCTTTGAGCAGGAGCCATGAGTCCAGGATAACTCCCAGATTGCACACCTGGTCTGTTTGGGGCAGTAGCACCCCATCCAGAACCAAAGATGGCAAGTCCCTGGAAACAGCAGGCCTCTGAACCCAAAGCCACTCAGTCTTGCTATGGTTGAGCCAAAGCCTGTTATTCCTCATCCAGACTTCTACAGCCTTCACACACCAGGCAGGAACCCAGCAATATTGCTTAATTCTCCAAGGGCAGAGATAAAAAGCTGTGTATCATCAGTGTACTTTACACCATGGCGATGGATGTCTTCATCCAGTGGCTTCATGTGTATATTAAACAGGAGTGGAGAGAGTACCAAACCCTGCAGAACCCCACAAAGCAGGGGCTAAGGGCAGGACCTCTCACTCCTGATCAGCACCAACTGGAACTGACCCCGAAGGAAGAAGAACCAGCACAAGACAGTGCTACCCGTTCCCCAACTCCTGGAGCCGGTTAGAAGGATATCATGGTTGGTGGTATTTTAGGCCACCAAGAGGTCAAGAAGAGCAAGGATGAATGTACTACCCCCACTACTTTCGCACCAAAGGTCATCGAAAGCACGATCAATGCTGTTTCACTCCCACACCCAGGCCTGAGACCTGACTGAAAGGAGTCTAAATAATCCAGTTCATCCAGGGTTCTCTGAAGCTGCTGTTCTATCACCTCAACAACTTTCCCTAAAAAGAGAAGGTTGGAAAATGGCGAAAGTTGTCCAGTATAGTTGGATCTAGTGATGGTTTCTTGAGAAAGGGGCAAACTAATGCCGCCTTCAGAGGTGAAGGGACAACCCTCCCTCTCAGGGAAGAATTAATCACCACTAGAATCCTGTTACATGTCATCTCCTAGGAGGCTTTCGCCAGCCAGCAGGGTCATGGATCTAATAGACAGGTGACCAAGCTCACAGTCATGAGGACCCTGTCCACTTCCTCAGGCCCAGCAGGTTCAAACTCATTCTAGG